GGTTACATATAAAGTATAAGAATCTACTACTGAATCAACTCTGAGCTCCTACCCAGTTTTATCTTTTCAATGTACTCCTATTTTCTCACTTCCCTTGACTACCTATGTGTTCTTATTCCTTCCATTATAAGACAGACAACTGACTAAAATGAATATGAGAGTATGAATTTCCTCAAGATTAGTTTTAGAGTAAAAGGGCTAGAATGACTCATTTAACATTCTAAATTCCAGTCATGTGTGTGTACTTTTCAAAGGTTACATATAAATTACTTAAATTTCTCTCACCTGGTTTCCAAATCTTTTTGGAGATTCAGCTTTTCACTTAAAAGTGCATCAATCTTAAATTTTGATTCCTTCAGCTGATTCTGTAATGACTGCAACACATTTCATAAAAAAAAAGTTAACTTTCCTACATGACTACTTCACTTTATAAAAAAGTATGTATGAGTCAGGTAGTCCCTGTACCAGTAGAAGGCCTTTATAAGTTGGTGAGGCATCAAGGCTGCTATAGTCTTCTTCCGACTGACTTTCATCTTCTTTATATTGCCTATGAAAAAACAGATGCAGTACACTTATGAAAAAATCTATCTTCAAAGGAACAATTCAGCTAACAAAAATCAATCTAGTAACATTTTGATAACCCAAATATGAATTGAAATTTAAGCCAAATTTCCTACTTGTCCTTATAGAGAATGGTATTAGGTATTAGGTACTACTACCTAATAGTAATATATCTGCTATCATCTTAATTAAAATATAAGATCAATGGAAACCAGAACTTTGTCTTGTTTGCCATGGTATCTCATTTTCTAGAAGAGTATGGAGCCTAAGAGTGAATGAAAAAGCACTTGTTGAATGAGTAAACAAACAAAGCATACTGTTTTTTTCCTTCTAGTACTTTTATGTCACCAAAATAACTATATGAAAAAATGTAAAGTATAAGTGGACATTTTATTTCCCTTAACAGAACACAAAATCCTAGAATGTAAGGACCCTACCTAAAACTTTGTCCTATCTCTGTAGAAGCTAACACCATGCCTACCATCTGAAACATAAGTTTCATTTGAAAACCAGAAGGGCCCTGAAGTTACTTATAATACTGCTTTCTGAATAGAATGAAGCAAGGAGTTACTCTACCATGAGCTGTTCTTTTCTTGTCTTCCCTTCCTTTCACTTTTTTCCACTTCTTCCCTCCATCTGCTCTCTTTTTTAAAGAGTCTCAATGGGCTAGAAGGAATCAGCAACCAGCACAGCTCTGTCACTGGTCCTGCTGAGTTTCTGGAAAGTTATTTTTCTTAAGAATACTAGAATGTATGCTTGATGAAAGTGGAGATTTATCTGCTTAGTTTATCATGGTATCCTTAGTCCCTAAACCAAACCATGGCACAAAGAAGGTGCTCAAATAAGTATCTGTTAAAAGAACTGTCCCATCTATAAACGATGAAATAGAATAGCTACTATTTTAATGACTGTATATGAAAGCACTTTAGGTTATTTGGCCTTAGATTACTCAGCTATTTTAGGTTAACTGAAGACCATTATTTTTATCTTTACCCTTAATTTCTTTAATCAGAGGTAAACTGTGTTTTAGTCTATATGCTTGATTTTTCACTATGACATTTTATCTTTAGCTCATATAAATCTGCACACTAATTAGACTGCACTTTGGTAGATGACTAATCTAATTATATCACTTTGTGAATATACTCAGTATCTATCTGATGGCTTGATGACATCAAATAGAATAAATTATAATACTTTAAAATATACAATAAATCCTATTTCTTCTGTAACCAATATTTTGGTGAAATAAATATATATATTTAATATAAATGCAATAATAGATTTTAACATAAGTAGTAAAATACAGTCTTTAAGAGCTTTATTAAAAAATTCATAGTTACATATTAGGTAGATTTCCAAAGCATATTTTAGGTTTCAAAAGGCTGACTACTTTTGGTGTGATTCACAACTGGATAGTATTTTAAAAATTGCCATACAGGACTAGTTATACCTTTGTTTATGAAGTTTTCTAATTTTGGATTCATAGTAGTCAATTAGGCAAAGCAACCTAGAAAACAGGAAATAAATTATTTCAAAATGTGATACTGTAGCATTTATTATTCTTTCTACATAATTTCAAATTACAGTGATAAGTGTACAGATAATCTAGCAAGTTTATAAAAAATTTAAGTGGTTTTGCCAGAAGTATTATACCAAATCATATATTATATTACTTTCAAAGTATAGTTTTAAAAATAACCACAATCATTATATTTCAGCATATTAAATGTATATTCTCGTAGTCCCAACAGTTCTACCTGTAGCAATCACTCTCACAGAAATATATGCCCCAAGGTTGTAGTCAAGATGAACAAAGTTGCTCATTGCACCATTATTTAGAAAGGTGAAAACACAGAAACAATTTACTCTTCAATAAGGAAAAAGTTAAATAATGGCACATCCATACTATAGAAAATGATGAAGCGTTAGAAAAACAATGTATATTTGTATGTCCTAATAAGGAGTAAGGGAAAAATTAATGTTGCATAGTCAAATGTATACCACTACTATTTTTTAAAGAAATAATTGTATGTGATTTTGTATGTGTATTGAAAAAGAACTCTATAGGTTCTTAACTGGGGGATACTATAATCTAGGGAACAGAGTTGGGGCTGCAGACTGACTGGCTGGGGAGAAGGCAAGATATTAAAATTTCATCAATGAGCACGACAGCCCTACACAATAATAAACTGTCCCACCCAAAATACCAAGAGCCCTCCTGTTGTGAAACACTAGGAAGGGCACAAACCAAACGATTAACGTGGTTATCTCTAAGGTGTGGTAATTAGGAGGGACAGGCAGGTCTATAACATTTTACTTTAAACACTTCTATATTATTTGAATTTTTATAAGCATGTACTGCTTTTTTAATTTAAAAAATCCTCAAAGAAAAATAAAATAACACTATACTTTCACATGTTATTCTTTTTAAAATAAGAATTCATACTATTTCTCTCCTATCTTGGGAAATTTACCAATCTCTTGCCTTTAAATCTAATTCAGCTAATTGTGCTTTTAATACTGTAACTTTATGGATTAGTCTTTCTTTTCAACCTTTCCCCATCCCAACACATACTAGCTTACATATCATCCTTTCTATCCCTCACAAGCCCTCTCATCCCCACACTTCCCTCTTAAGCTACCATTCCATTTTTATCTTTTCCTCCTTAGCAAACTTCATTCATTCTGGGTGACTGCTACCGGCTATCTTCAATAAACTTGTAGTGAGGAGTTATTTGTGTCAAATGGGAGGTCTGAGCAAATAAGACAGGAAGAAGGTAAACATATACACTGATGAGGCAGCATGTAACACTTCATACCACTTTCTTCTTGAAACATTCTGTTCCTTGGTTATCCTGACACCCAAACATAACTTCTCTTCTGCCTCTCTTTTGTCTACCTGAAATTTGGAAGTTCTCTGGAGTTCAGTCCTTCTAACTGCAGCCCTGCTATTTCTACATAGCTGGCTTAAGGTGCTTAGGCACATGTCCAAAAATGAATTTGTCATCTTTCCTCTCCATTCCCCAAATCTAACTTGAAATCTAATCTTTAACTCCTCTCCTCCTCTCAACAACGATAGCCAGTCAGTCTGGACAATTTCTGTCCATCTCTGCAATCTCTCTTTTAGCCCTAACACAGGCGTTCATTATCTCCCACCTAGACTATTACAGCTCATCACTAACTTGTCTTTCTGTCTCTGGGTTTAATTTCTTTGCTCAGAAATCCTGGGGATTTTTATCCTGCTATATAGAAAGCAGAACCCAATTTATAAGAGATATATGTAACCACTCCCAAGATAAAATTAGTTTTAAAAAATGATGAATCTATCCACATATCAATAAAGTAAACATTACTGTCTATCCAAGATGGTATGAGGAACTCTTTTGCAGAGATAAGAAAATACTCTGTTTTGAGTGGCAATGCGCTCTTCCTCCTCCTTTGATAATCTACAGATATCCTTTTGCAAAAAAGCAATAGCCTCTTGTTGTTCCATTTGTTTTCTCTTATAATGCTGACATTTTGCCTAGAAGGAATTTAAAAAAAACATAATTATAACATGTACATCTAGGACATGCAGTTCTAACAGTATTGTACACAAAGCCATCTTCACAGTTTCTATCAAACTGCTTCATTCAAGAACTTCAGTACTGAGGCTGTTTTTAAATAGGTACTAGCTCCAGAAACACTGTCATAAATGTAAACATGTAACAAGTAAAATAGGTATAAAATAGAGGAATTGTAGCTTATAACTGCTTGCATTCAAGGTTTCATAACAGTAAAGGAAACCGAGAATCTCCCTAACACTAAAGAAAAAGGAAAGCCATTGGAGAGTATCGAGCTACTATCTTGAGAGCACATTAAAAAGGCAAGGCTCAGTGGTTGAGAGTATCGACCTATGAAAAGGAGGTCAGAGGTTTGATTTCCGGTCAGGGCATATGCCCAGGTTGCTGGCTCCATCCCCTGTGTGGGGCATGCAGGAGGCAGCCAATCAATGATTCTCTCTCATCATTGATGTTTCTCTCTCTCTCTCACTCTCTTTCTCTCCCTTCCTCTCTGAAATCAATAAAAATGTTAAAAAAAATAAGAACAAAAACAAAAAAAACCAAGGGGACCGCTAACTGCTTTGGCTCAGTAGGTAGAGTGACGGCCCTTCCTGAAGGGTCTCAGGTTCGATTCCAGTCAAGGGCGTGTCCCTGGGATACAGGCTCAATCCCTGGCTCTGGTTGGGGCGCGTGCAGGAGGCAACCAATAGATGTGTCTCTCTCACCTCAATGTTTCTCTCTTTCTGTCTCTCCCTCTCCCTTCCATTCTTTCTAAAAATCCATGGAAAAGCATCCTCAGTGAGGATTAACAAAAAGAAAAAGAAAAAGAAAAAAGGCAAGGTGAGAAGCAGCAAAGCCAAGAGAGAAGCAGGGGATAAGTGAAGGTGACTTGGACCAGAGTGGAGACTAAAAGAAGAAAGTTTTGGAGAGGAAATACAGGAACTCAGTTTTAGACATGTAAAGTTCTAGATGCCTATTAGTGATGTCAAGTGGGTAGTGGGAAATGAGTCAGGAAGTAAGAGAAGAGGTTTGGACTATAGATTTAAATTAGGTGCTAAGAAAGACTGAGCATCACCAAGGGAGTTAGAGTATATAGGGAAGAGAAAAGGACTAAGGAATTACTACTAGGGAATCCCAACACTGAGAGGTTAGGGAGATGAGAAGAATCAGCAGTGGGGTTAGAGGGAAACCAAAGGAGAAAATATTCTAGAAACAAGGGAAGAATCTCAAGAAGAAACAGTAATAGGCCAAGTAAGGTAAAGACCATTGAATTAAGCAACATGGAAGTCACCTGTAACCTTGATGAGCTGTTTTATACTACTATTATGTAAGAAAATATATAACTCAGTACCTGTAAAGCTTTATGCTCCTTTTGAAGATCTTTCATTTTATTCTGCTGCTGGCAAACTCTATTTATGGATTCATCCTCCAATTCACCAATTTTGGATTTCACACCCTCCATTATTTCTTCCAAGTCATTAGCTCGTTGTTCCTGATCTACTGCTCGGCATTTTTCTAGTTGAAGTTCTTTTCTAATGATAGACACACAAGTCCTTCCTTAGTAATAAACATAAATCACATCAACAAATCTACTCATCTAATAACATAATGAATTTCTAAAATTTCTTTGCTAAGCTATCACCAAAAAATTACCTATTAAAAATATTTATATTTGTGCCCTATCTGGTTTGGCTCAGTGGATAGAACATAGGCCTGCGGACTAAAGGGTCCCGGGTTCAATTCCAGTGAAGGACACATGCCCGGGTTGCAGGCTCAATCCCCTGTGGGGGACGTGCAGGAGGCAGCCAATCAAGGATTCTCTCTCATCATTGATATTTCTATCTCTCTCTCCCTTCCTCTCTGATATCAATAAAAATATATTTTAAAAATAGATATTTGTATTTGCATCCACCTAGATACAAAAAATTCAAGAGAGGTCCCCCTACCCCATTTTCTTACTTAAGCTGCTGATTAGTTTCTATGAGCTCCTGGATCACATTCTGTTGACGCGCTGTTTCTTCCATCAACGTTTGCAAGTTCTGTCTCATCCTTTGTGATGACCGTTTGTCAAAAACGATGAGATCTATATTTTTTTAAAAAAATAGAATACAAATAGTAAAAATAAAGGTAAGGCAAAAAATTTTTAAGAAAATAATATTTTAAAGGAAAAAACAGCTTTTTTACCATCAGGGGCAAGAATAGGATCTGGTTACCTTTAAGATCTGTTCTTTTGACTAGAACTAAAGGTTTTAAGCCATGCGTCATCAACAGCACATTTATGCTCTCCCATTCTGCTTCTTCCTGCTACAATCACAAAGGAGAGAAAAGGATCAAGTTTATGATATAAGTGAAAAAATACCTTCTTGTACATAATTTCCTTCATTTTCAGAATAACAGAACTTTTTCTCCAAAAAATTTTAATATTAAGTTTTGTGTACATACAACAATTAAAATTAAAACAAAACAATTAAAAAAACACCTTGTAATTGCAGTGAATCAAACAGACCTTGGGTTTTTCATTTAACTGAACCAGATCAGGGCCCACTCAAAAGAAACAACTGCAAACTGAGTTACATTAATTGAATAGTAAAGAGAAGGTGAGTCACTTGGAAATAAGTGTCATTTTAACAATGATTAAGGACACACACACACAAAACCATATCTGAATGGTTGGAGCCAATAATTTAAATAGATCATATCCATTATATAAGAAACTAACTATAAAAAGGAGTCTGTCCATTCAGGTAACAGATTTGAGTAGAGTCATTCTGAGTGATTCTCTTTTTTTTTTTTTGGTTTTTGTTTTTGTTTTTCTGAGTGATTCTAAGTATGTCATTAAGCCATAAAGCTGAGAGGGGAACTCTAACTCTCTAGATTAAGTGAATAAAAATATAATGGGGCCCTGGTTGGTTTGGCTCAGTGGATGGAGTGTTGGCCTACAGAATGAAGGATCCTGGGTTCAATTCCAGTCAAGGGCGCTTGCCCCAGTTGCGGGCTTGATCCCCAGCGAGGGCATGTGTGAGGCAGCCGATCTACGATTCTCTCTCATCACTGATGTTTCTGTCTCTCTCTCTCCCTTTCCCTTCCTCTCTGAAATCAATAAAAAACTAAAATAAAAAACATAACAATGGGAAGAAAAATGAAATAAGGACATAAAAGATGGATCAGGCCTGGCAGATGTGGCTCACTAGTTGAGCGTCGACCTATGAACCAACAGGTCATGATTCGATTTGCAGTCAGGGCATGTGCCTGGGTTGCAGGCTCAATTCCCAGTGAGCAGCTGATCAGTGATTCTCTCTCATCATTGATGTTTCTATCTCTCTCTCCCTCTCCCTTCCTCTCTGAAATCAATAAAAATATATTTTAAAAAAGATGGATCGGAATAATAGAGATAATTTTTTAAATGACACATTTAAATCGCTGATATTGACATAGTTTTATAATGGGCTTTTAATGTTACGTACAATAATCAATTTTGAAATCACTGTGTGAGGTGCTTTGCATGCTCTTTAAGGTATTAAAGAATATTTGTAAAAAGCCAATTTGAGTGACTTTTCAATGTTTAAATGCTTGAAAAAATGTAATTTATACAATAAATACATTTTTATTACTGGTATAGTATGTAAATACTGTAATAGCTTAAAGGTTAATAATTTAGACAGACAAAGCACGAATAAAAGCATTAATCTTCACATCCAAATGCTCCTCTGACATTAAAGATTCTATCAAGACAAAAAAGGAACAAATTACCCTAATGACTCTTTGACAGCATTATGACCCACAGCACCAAATAAATCTTTCCTTTTGATTGCTGACTTTCTTTCCCTTCTTTATCTTTTCTACACTTCTCCTCCTTCCCCAAACCTTTCCTCTTATTTATGCTTAGGTCTTCTGGTCACAAAAATTAATGACACAGAACTAGAATTATTACTGACAGCCTGGCTGGGTAGCTCAGTTGGTTACAGTGTTGTTCTGATAAGCTCCCCTGTCAGGGTATATACAAGAAGCAACCAATAGCCCTAGCCGGTTTAGCTCAGTGGACAGAGCATCAGCCTGTGGACTGAAGGGTCCTGAGTTCGATTCCAGCCCAGGTCACATGCCCGGGTTGTGTGCTCTATCCCCAGTTGGGGGCATGAAGGAGGCAGCCAATCAATGATCCTCTCTCATCATTGATGTTCCTATCTCTTTCTCCCTTTCCCTTCCTCTCTGAAATCAATAAAATTTTTTAAAAAGCAACCAATAAATGCATAAATAAGTGGAACAACAAATTGATGTTTCTGTCCCACCCCCCTCTCAAATCAGTAAATAAAAAAAAGTATTACTGATATCTGTTTTAGGAGCCAAAAGCTCTGTGTGGATATCTCAGTGGAGGTCTAGCTAGTATGACTCATAATGACAAAATGCTTTGTAAATAATAATGTCATGAATTTTGAATGATCAAGTTATACATGTTGCTCCTTGTCTTTTCAATTTATTTATTTTTTTTAATATATTTTATTGATTTCTTACAGAGAGGAAGGGAGAGAGATAGAGAGTTAGAAACATCGATGAGAGAGAAACATCGATCAGCTGCCTCCTGCACATCTCCTACTGGGGATGTGCCCGCAACCCAGGTACATGCCCTTGACCGGAATCAAACCTGGGACCTTTCAGTCCGCAGGCCGACGCTCTATCCACCGAGCCAAACCGGTTTCGGCTCAATTGATTTTTTTAAGAGGGAGAAGAGAGAGAGAGAGAGAGAGAGAAACATTGATCGGTTGCTTCCCGCATGCACCCCAACAGGGGATCAAACCTGCAACCTGGTATGTTCCCTGACCAGAAATTGAATCTGCAATCTTTGGTGTATGGGACAACACTCCAACCAAGTGAGTTACACTGGCCAGGGCCTCTAATACCTTTTAAGAGAAAGAATAACATTAACTGTTTGCAAATTCTGAAAAGAGCTAAGAATGGCATTTTCCAAAGTTATGTGCTGCAGAACACTTTATACTTGAGCCTCCTTTTAGAGACTGATATCTTAGAGTAATGAAATCATGTAATAGTCTTTAACCTGGCATTTCCCAAAATTATCCTAACTAATAATAGAGAAACATGGTAATTGACCGTATGATCTCACTCATTTATGGATAATAAAGACCATTATAAACTGATGAACAAAAATAGATAGAGGCAGAGCAACATCGAACAGACTGTAAAACTACAGTGGGAAGACCGGGGAGGGTTTGGAGGCAGGAGGGGGGGTAAGAGATCAACCGAATGACTTGTATGCATTCATATAAGCATAACCAATGGACACAAGCCACTGGGGGGTAGGGGAAGCCAGGGGAATGTCAAGCAGGGATGGGCGGGAAGGAGACATATGTAATACTCTTTGTCATACTTTAAGCAATAAAAAAAAAAAAAAAAAGAAATCATGTAATGGTCTTTAACCTGGCATTTCCCAAAATTATCCTAATAATAGACAAACATGGTAATTGACCGTACCTTCGCTATGCCTCCCATTGGCTAATCAGCATGATATGCAAATTAACTACCAACAAAGATGGCGGCTAATTTGTATACTGCAGGCAGGGCGGGCCAGCACGAGCTGCCATCTGGGCCCCCGTGTGCCACCTAAGCCCCACCGACAGCCGGGACCCCCGTGTGCGGCCCTGGGCTGCAGGGCTTGGGGGCACGATCAGCCCGAGGGAGCCCTATTCTTGCAGGAATCTTCCTGCAACGGGCTTCTAGTCCTACATAATAAAAGGCTAATATGCAAATCAACCGAATGGTGGAACAACTGGTCGCTATGACGCATAATGACTACCAGGGGGCAAACGCTCAATGCAAGAGTTGCCCACTGGTGGTCAGTGCACTCCCACAGGGGGAGCGCCACTCAGCCAGAAGCTGGGCTCATGGCTGATGAGCACAGAGGCAGTGGTGGGAGCCTCTCACCTCCGCAGCAGTGCTGGTGCGAACCTTTTGAGCTTGGCGTGTCAGCATTTTGAAAAACCCTAACTTAACTCTGGTGCCGTGTCACATATAGAAATTTTTTGATATTTGCAACCATAGTAAAACAAAGATGTATATTTTTGATATTTATTTTATATATTTAAATGCCATTTAACAAAGAAAAATCAACCAAAAAAATGAGTTCATGTGTCATCTCGTGTCATAGGTTCGCCATCACTGGCTTAGGCCCACTATCAGTCAGATATCCCCCAAGGGCTCCTGGACTGCTGGAGGGCACAGGCCGGGCTGAGGAACACACACACACACACACACACACACACTACAGTGCACAAATTTCGTGCACTGGGCCTCTAGTTTTACTAAATAAAAGAATCTTTTTACTTTATTTTTCAATTACAGTTTACATTTAATATTATTTTGTATCAGTTTCAGGTGTACAGCATAGTGGTTAGATAATCATATACTTTACAGTATATGATTGGGTGAAGTATTCACCCAATATTTCCAGTACCCACTTGGCACCATACACAGTTATTACAATATTATTGACTATACTCCCTATGCTGTACACCTGAAATCTTTTAAATTAAGAATTTCAGATTTTTCACATTTGTAGATGTAGTATTATTTGCCACCACATACTTTGAAAAACACTGGTTTCAAATATTTCCCATTTACCTGTTTTTCAGTCATGAGTCTGTTTGATGATTTACTGGACTGCTGGACTTGAGGGGCTGCTGGAGATATAGTTTTTCTTTGCAGAACCAAAGAAGTAGAGACTGGCAGTGAAAAATTTTGAGTTGCCTAAATTAAAACAGAAAAAAGTGCAAGAGGTGTTAAATGAAATTATACTTAAAAGAACCACTACTCTTGAGCAATTTAAGCCATTCCTGTGTCAAAACTTTTATTACTTCTTAGAAAGCTAATTTAAAGAATGATTAGAATAAACCCTATCTTACAATGTTCTCCTCTAGATATAAAACAATATGGGGTTTTACACACATACCAGCACAAAGAAAAATATTTTTGTTTTAACTGGATATGAAAAGCACATGATGCTAACAAACTGTTATCTTTTAGAAGCTGCTTTTCAAAAAAACTAAAAGAATTGTACCTGACCCAAAAGTTACGGGCCAGTCTAACAATTCACTGGACTGACTCCAAGGATGAATGGAATGCCACTTTCTTAGGTGGACTTTATTTCTAAGTAAATCAGAGGTTAGCAACAAAGGATTCTGTTTGACAGGCACACACAAAAGTTTATATTCAGTCTAACCTACCATCACTTGCTCTCATTATCTAAGACTGCACCATTCTATAAAAAAAAAATTCTTCGGGTTGTTTGATATGTAAGTATAATTCCTCCCCTCCAATCCCACATATTCATTAGCATCATGGAATTTTAGAACTTGAGAGGACCTTGAAAATTGTTTAATACGAAATCTCTAGCTGTTCATAGCTGGCAGAAAAGAGTGTAGGGAGAGCTGTACCAATATATCAGGTACCAGAGCCATCTGAGGCCCAAAGAGGTGCAATAATCTTCCAGGACTGATTAGAGGTAGGCCTCCTTCCTGCCAGTTCAATGTTTCATCCAAAGCACCCTTCTGCTTCAGACAGTGAAATCCAATTAAACAATTTATTGGTCACTAATAATTTATTTTTAGCTAAACCTAATAACAAATTAGATTCTCAAATGCTGCCATTTTTGCAGTTTCACATCAGTTCTTTCTCCCTTTAAACTCTGGTCTCTTTCAATAACTCAATCACCTACTACATTAAACCCTCCTGCTTTTATTTTAAATAAAGATCCTTTTGACCCTAACTGGTTTGGCTCAGTGGATAGAGCATCAGCCTGAGGACTGAAGGGTCCCACATTTGATTCCGGTCAAGGGCATGTACCTTGGTTGCAGGCACATTCCCAGTTAGGGGGTGTGCAGGAGGTAGCTGGTCAATGTTTCTAACTCTCTATCCCTCTCCCTTCCGCTCTGTAAAAAAATCAATAAAATATATATATTTTTTTAATAAAAAGATCCTTTTAAAAAATGTCAGCCAACTTCAGTTACAAGCTTTTTAACTTTTCATTCGAGAAATTTTTTTAAAACTACACAAAAGTAGAGAAAGACTATAATGAACTCATGTATTCATCAATCCAGCTCCAATAACATTCTTCTATTCTTGTTACATTTCTTCCTTACCCACTTATATTTCGGTATACATGTTTAACAAATATAGACTCATTATCACACCCAATAAAAATAACAGTAATTCTTTACTATTACCTAATATCTAATCCATGTTCAACTTCCCCAAATATCTTATGATTTTTTTTCAAACAAATTCCATATATAGCACACACGTTTCTTTTAATTTTTAAGCCCCAGTCTCCTTTTTAATATGGCATTTGTTAAAGAAATAGGCATTAGTCTTCAGAGTTACCCACATTTCAGATTTAGCTTATTGCATTCTCATCATTTAACATATTTATCCATCTCCTATATTTCTTGTAAACTGGTTATATCTAGAAGCTTTATTAAATTTCGGTTCAGTATTTTTTTTTAAATACATTTTTTATTGATTTTTTACAGAGAGGAAGGGAGAGAGATAGAGAGTTAGAAACATCGATGAGAGAGAAAACATCGATCAGCTGCTTCCTGCACACTCCCTACTGGGGATGTTCCCGCAACCAAGGTACATGCCCTTGACCGGAATCGAACCTGGGACCTTTCAGTCCGCAGGCCGACGCTCTATCCACTGAGCCAAACCGGTTTCGGCTCGGTTCAGTATTTTATGGCAAGAATAATTCAGAGGTAGTGCTGTGTTCTTCCTACTGCATCACCATTAGTAATCAGCCAAAGTTTAAAGTGGGAAGAATACACCATGTAAACCAGACATAAGGTTAGTAGACATCAATGTAAGAGAATCTCCCAAAAAGCATGGAGCCACATATTCTAACAGTCTTCCAACATCCACCCTGGACCTCTCTCTAATCTTCAAAATGCCATCTCCCTCCATGTTCAAGACCTAGGAGTTCAATCTCTTCTTCACTTAGTTAACTCATACTTGACCTTCTGATGTCAGCTCAAATTTCCTTCTTCAGGGAAATCTCCCCTGATTCCATGACTAGATCAGGTTCTCGTTATATGCTCTTGTAGCACTATAAAGAATAAAGTATAGAGATTTAGAGTTCAGAGACAAATGGCCTGAGTGACTACCAGCTTAACCGTTTATTAAACTGTGTGACATGGACAAACTCATTAACATCTTTGATCCTTGATACCTTCATTTGTAAAAGAGTAATAATAATATCTACACCTCAGAGGTTGAATTACGTCAGACAACATGTAGAAAGTATTTAATACAAGTGTGTGACACATAGAAATGTATATAACAACTACCAATTATCTATACAAGTATGCTGAACAAAATGGAACTTACCTAAGCATACAATCATATTATCTTAGACCTTTTTCTACAAATTACTCAGCTGTTATAAGTTGTTTTACATAATATGTCTAGGTAAAACTAAATTCCAGGACATTAGTAGTCTTATTTTTTTTTTTGGTAATAGTCAAATAGGCAATCTGCCTCTAAGAAAGCCAAATAAAACTTTTTTTTTTCTTCTTAAAAGCATTGAAGAACTAACAAGATAATGAGGAATTACCAGGACAAAAAAAAATTACTAAAATGAGAACACAGTTTTTCCCTGAAGGCATTTGCAAATCCAAAGAAAAAACTGTGAGCATGAGTGATAAAGAGCAAAGTCAACTACCATCAACAAATGACAAGTGCTGGCCAAGATGTGGAGAAAAGGGAACCCTAATACAATGCTGGTGGGAATGCAGACTGGTGCAGCCACTGTGGAAAACAGTATGGCTCGGCTGGGTGTAGCTCAGTGGTTGAGCATCAGCACAGGAACCAAGAGGCCAATGACTGGATTCCCAGTCAGGGCACTGTCCGGGTTGCGGGCTCGATCCCCTGTGGTGGGTGTGCAGGCGGCAACTGATCGATGATATTTCTCTTTCATCGATGTTTTTATCTCTCTATCCCTCTCCTTTCCTCTCTGAAAAGTCAATAAAAACATATTAAAAAAAACACAGTATGGAGTTTCCTCAATAAATTAAAAATAGAACTGCCATTTGACGCAGTAGTCCAACTTCTAGGAAGATATCCTAAGAAACCCAAAAAACCAATCAGATAGAATATATGCACCCCTATGTTCATAGCAGCACAATTTACAATAGCTAAGCTCTGGAAACAGCCCAAGTGCCCATCACCAGACGAGTAGATAAAAAAAACTGTGGTACATTTATACCATAGAAAAAAAAGCTATGGTACATTTATACCATAGAATACTATGCAGCAGTAAAAAAAAAAAAACACCAAAAAGAATCTCTTACCCTTTGAGAGAGCATGGAGAGACCTAGAAAGCATTATGCTAAGTGAAATAAGTCAGTCAGAGAAAGACAAGTATCACATGATCTCACTCATATGTGGAATCTAATGAACAGAATAAACTGATGAACAAAATAGATCCAGAGACACAGAAGCATGGAACAGACTGACAAATCTCAGAAGAACTTATATGACCCATGAACACAGGCAATAGTGTGGTAAAGGTATAGAATGGGTGTGGAGGGGGGGAAAGAAGGGGACATCTGTAATACTTTCAACAATAAAGATAATTTTTTTAAATAAGTAAATATATAATAATTTTTTTAAAAAGAGCAAAGCCACCCTATTTAAAATTGCTACCTGGAAGTGCTACAACTCTCAGGAGAAAGGTGAGCGAGAAGTAACCATCTAGGCCATGAACTGAAACCTGGCTTCCACTTCTCTATTTCATTCCAATATCTCAACAAGGTCCCAAATTAATAGTGCCTCCAAATAATAATAGTGCTGGCAGAGCAAATGAAATTTCTGGAAAAAGGCCTCAAATTATTCCCACAGCCCTAACCGGTTTGGCTCAGTGGATAGAGCGTCGGCCTGCGGACTGAAAGGTCCCAGGTTCGATTCCGGTCAAGGGCATGTACCTTGGTTGCAGGCACATCCCCAGTGGGAGGTGTGCAGGAGGCAGCTGATCAATGTTTCTCTCCCATCGATGTTTCTAACTTTCTATCCCTCTCCCTTCCTCTCTGTAAAAAATCAATAAAATATATTTTTTTAAAAATTATTCCCACAAAAAAAGTTTCAAGTACAATATCCAGAAAACAGCCAAAGATAACCAAGACATATAGGAAACAAGACATAAGGGGAACAGAAGCAATAGTCAAAAGAAACTAACCCACAAAGAAAGACTTCTAATATTGTAATTGTTAGGCACAGACCATAAAATAACTACACTGACAATGTTCATAAAAATAAAAACTTGAAACTTCTGGCAGAGAACTAAAACTGAAAAGAGATAAAACATATTTGAAAAAGAATGAAAACTTTAGAACAAAAAAGTTACAGTAACTGAAATTAAGATCTTAAATCACATGCTTAAGAGTAGATTAGAAAGAACAGAAGAGAAAATTTAATTAACTAGATGGAAAGTTAGAAGAGACTACCACCTTTTTAGTTCTCTATGCTGCATTCAGGAAAACACAGAAGACATTCAACTTCAAATGAAGGAACACTGGCACATCCAAGAAAGAGGAAAAAAATGGAGCAGCAACAGCATTTGGAGATAAAACTAAGAAGCTGTGAGAGCCAATAAAATAAAAGTCCACAGATTCTAGAAGCTCAACATAATCTTGCATCAGGATAGAAAAAAAAAAATCACTCCTTGACATATATTAAAGTATAAAAAAAAAATCTCAAAAGCAATTAGAGAAAAAAAGACTATCATTAAAGGAGTGACAGAATATCAGTTAACTGTTTAGCAGTAACAATGGAAACTAAGAGTAGACTAATATCATAAATGTGCTGGGGGAAAAAAATAATTGCCAATCTAAAATTCTAAACCCAGTGAAAATATCCATTAATAATAAAGACAAAGGATATTTTCAAACAAAACAAATAGGACAAATCTGCTCTATAAAAAATTCTAAAGATGCTTCATGCAGAAGATTCCTTGATAGAAAGAAAGAGCTGTAGAAAGGAATAAAGATCAAGGAGCCCAGCTGGTGTGGCTCATGGGTTAAGCACGACCTATGAACCAGGAGGTCATGGCTTGATTCCCAGTCAGAGCACATACCTGGCTTATGGGCTTAATTCCCAGTGTGGGAAATGCAGGAGGCAGCCAATTAATGATTCTCTCTCACCATGGATGTTTCTATCTCTCTTACCCTCTCTGAAATCAATAAAAATATTTTTGAAAAGAAATAAAGAATAAAGCCCAGAAACAAACCCACAAATAAAAGATAAAGGTGAGAAAGTGATTCAGCAGAGAAAGGATAGTCTTTTTAAAAATAGTGCAACTGGATATCTATGTGCCAAAAAATAGACTTTGATTCATACCTCACACCATAAACAAAAATTTACTCAAAATGAATCATAGACATAACTCTAAAAACCTAAAAATACAAAGTGCCTAGAAAAAAAGCATAGAAAACCTTTGTGACCTTGGAATAGGCAAAAATTTCTTAACTATATCATCAAAAGCGTGATCCATAAACAAATTTGGCTTCATAAAAATGAGAACTGGCCCTGGCTGGTTTGGCTCAGGGGATAGAACATCAGCCCACATGATTATAGCAACTGCTTCAGAAAAAAATCATTCAACTAAATCCAATACCTTTTTTGATAAAAACTCTCAGCAAATTGAGAATAGAAGGATCATACACAATAAAAGCCAAAAATGACAAAACTATAGCCAACATCATACTCAATGGGCAAAAACTAAAACCATTTCCCCTAAGAACAGGAACAAGACAGAGAATGCCCACTTTCACCACTCTTGTTTAACAGTACTGGAAGTCTTAGCCATAACAATCAGATAAGTGGAAGAATATACCGTGTTCATGAATGAGTAGAATCAACATCATTAAAATGTCCATACGACCCAAAGCAATCTACAGATTCAAAGCAATCCCTAGTAAAATACAAATGGCATATTTCACAGATCTAGAACAAACACTCCAAAAATTTATATGGAACCAAAAAAGACCCTGAATGGCCACAGCAATCTTGAGAAAGAAGAACAAAGTTGGAGATACCAAGTTATACTACAAAGACACTGTACTCAAAACAGCCTGGTACTGGCACAAGAATAGGCATATAGATCAATGGAACAGAACAGAAAACCCAGAAATCGACCACTATGCTCAAAATAATATTTGACACTATGCTCAATTAATAATATTTGACAATGGAGTAAGGACAGTCTCTAGAGTAAATGGGGTTGGGAAAATTGGACAATGCAAAAAATGAAACTAGACCACCAACTTACACCATACACAAGAATAAAGTCAAAATGGATAAAAGACTTAAATGTAAGACATGAAACCATAAAAATCTTAGAAACCATAGGCAGCAAAATCTCAGACATCTCAGTAATATGTTTACCAATACATCTCCAAGAGCAAAGAAAACTGAGAAAACAAAACAAAAAATGGGACTACATCAAAATAAAAAGCTTTTGCACAGCAAAAGAAACCATCAACAAAATGACAATATTATTTACTACAATGTTATTTATAAAAAAATAAATAAAAGCAAACTAGATATTCATCAATTAGGAACTGGTAAATAAATTCTGGTAACATACAATGTACCAGGAAGACAAATGAAATATTATGTAGATGTAAATATAAACAATAATGCTCTTCATGTACTGGTTATGAATTATCTCAAAGACATATTTGTATATTAAAAATCAAGTAGACAGTACATAATTTTCACTGGGAAAAGTATAAATGCACATAATTTCTTGTTTATGTATAAATGCTTTCCTAAGAAGAAATACAATAAACAAAAAATATTTGTTGACTTTAGGGAAGGACCAGAATTATTAAAGTTAAGTGAATATGTTCAATATATATGCATTTAAATAGGAAAATTCAACTTTGTGAATGTCTAACAGTATCAATATTTACATTAAAATGTAAATTCAATAATATCTAAAATGAAAAAAAAGGAAATAAAGAACCAATTTATAATCTTGAAAACTGGTAAGTAAATGGTAGGAATCAAGAATAAATGCTGCCTTTCCTGAAGGAATTATACTGCTGCCTATTTAAATAATAGATAAGGGACTAGTATTCCAACCAATAAGTGAAAAAGATATGATAGAAATACAATACACTATTTTGCAACCTTCAGTGAATAGATATATAGGCATCGAGTAGCACCAGCTGCTGAGATCAGGAAGAGAGAAACAAGGACACATTATGCACTTCCTATGGTCTTGCCAACCACCATTTAGACAACTGCCAAGGGGATGACTAAGTCTGATCCAGTCTGCAACCCAACTACTAATGTGCAGGAGCTACCCAAGGCAGATGAACATATGAACTAGACCTGATTATACAATCAGCAAAATCCAGACTGTAAGATATACAGGTCAATTGACTCAGGTTCTTTACCAGAAAACAAAATTGTAAGAAAAAGAAAGGAACAGAGAAAAACTACAAATTAAACTTTTAAAATTTTTAATGGGCAAAACTACATAATATCTAGGAGTATGCATTTATGAAAAAAATGCTTTTTAAAACACAAGGAAGCAATTACTATAAAAGTAAGAATGGCTACTAATGGAAGTAGGTGTGCTTGGGATGGGCCAACAGAGCAGCTGTGGCATGGCTAGTACAGTACTGTTCTACACCCTGACCTACATGGTACTGTCTTTCAATAATTCATTAAGCTATGCTTCTGGTATGTGTGTTCTACTTGATTTCATAATAAAACTCATTTTACTATTTAAAAAATTTATTAAGTAATAATAAAAGTAAAGGAAATACCAAAAGAAAGCCTGGTATAATTTTATAGCCAAACTGCCTGCGTTTGAATTGTGGATTCTGCCACACAGCCAGGAAAAGTACTAATCTCTCTGTGCCTCATTTCTTTATCATGAAGTGAGAATATTAAGTGTTTAGCTCATAGGGTAGTTGTGAAAATTAGGGGAGTTAATATACAGGCACACCTCAAGAGATATTGCAGGTTTGGCTCCAGTCCACCACAATAAAGCAAGTCATACAAATTTTTTGGTTTCCCAGCATATATAAAAGTTATGCTTACACTATATTAAGTGTGCAATAGCATTATGTCTAAAAAATGTACATACCTTAATTTAAAATACGTTATTGCTAAGAAATACTAACCGTCATCTGAGCCTTCAGAGAGTTGTAATCTTTTTGCTGATAAAGAGTCTTATTTTCAATTTGTAAAAAATACAATATCTGTGAAGTGCAGAAAGATTAAGTGCAATAAAAAAAAAGTTTTGCCTGTAGAAAGGAAACAGATCAGTGCCTGGCACATCGCAGGACAGAAGTGGTGATCAGAGTTAGTGGGTGATCAGCTGTGTTAACTTAGATATTTAACCTCTCTGGGCTTCAATTTCCTTAACTGAATTTAAAATATCTACCTGATAGGATTATCAGGAGGTCAAAAGGAAATATATGTATTATACCCAGTATGGTAGTCAATAAACAATAGATTTGCCCTGGCCTGTGTGCTCAGTGATTAGAGCATCACCCCTACACTGGGTTCGATTCCCAATCAATGGCACATACCTGGGTTTTTGGTTGGTTCCTGGCCTAAAGCAATGGAAAAATATCCTTCATTGAGGATTAAAACAAAACACACCAATAGATTCTTTCCATGGTCTCCCAACATCCAGAGTCATCTGTCACATTAGGCATACCTCAGTCACAGCACATTCCTCTTGCACTTTTTATCTGGTCATTCAAGTTGATTTCAATGAAGTGATCACCCAGTGAATCTCACGTTTGAAACTGGATCTTCATCTAGGTTTCAAAAAAATAAACAGGCCAAAATCTTAAAATGTCCGACCTCCTAGTAAGAATGGTCTTATGTTACTCCCAGAGCAGGAATTCATGGTACTGGTAACCACTAAACTGAGGCTGAACAACTGAAGTCATCGCTAATGGATTCCGATGCTCACCACCCCTTCTTAGCTTTCCTCTCCCTGCTGGGGTCCAAATCTATCTTTCATCAATTCTGACTCCTGGCTTCACAGGTAGGATGTTCTCATTTGCAAGGTACTAAAAAGAAGCATGCTCAGAGATAAATACCACTGAACATAAAAGGCAAAGGCATCAATTCCACCTGTAACCAAATGCTCCTTTTTAGAGATCAGACGGTGAAATTAATGTCAACAGTTTGCAGCGGCCCTTCCCTACTGCAGCTGTGCCAGGAAGAGACCTGGGCCTTTCTGATACCTCACCTCAAGGAAGGCTTTGGGCACAGGGTTGCAGGGTAGGAGTTGGTTGTCTGTGGCATAGAAAGCCAAGTGCAAAACACAGCTGTATTTTCTGGCTCTGTCCCGGTTTCCCGAGAGCCCTTTGGTGACTTACCCGTGACAGGCCTGAAGCGCCTGCAACGTGCTCCATACATTAAAATGTAAATATTTTTCACCATTTGGGGGTGAGGGGTGGGGGAGAAGCTGGAAATAAACCATGGCGAGTCGCTGTTCTTTCTCAGGTGGGTCGCGTTAAAATCTGGGATTAGCTTTCTCAAATGCATGTCCTTCACATTATTGCAATAAATGGAACACGCACTGTTTTCAAAGTCTCTACTGTCTATTGAATGCAAAAGTTCTATTCCAAAAAAACACGCCAACACGCTGTTTAATGACGTTCCTAAAAAGAACGGAATCTACCACAAATAAGGACATGGAGTTAGGACTGGATATCATCAGTCCGATCATCCTGCCCCAGGAGAGGTTACATAAAGGGCCCCAACACACCTCCCCCGCTTGAGGCCCAAGCTGAGGCCAAACCCCAGTGGGGCCCCCTGCCCCCCAAAGTGGAGCTGGGGAGGCCCGGGCCTACTTGGCAAAGCGGAAAGTAAAACAACAGCAGCAGCAGCTGGGTGATGCCTGCGCGGTGTTTAACACTATTACAGCCGGGAAACAAGTGGCGGCAGAAACCCTTTCCGGTTGGTCTCTCGGCCTCCGCGGTTTCCACCTCACGGATTTCCTTCATGGAATCCAACTAGACGCCCCAAAAAGTCAGATGCGCCCCGAGTCGGGACAGGGCATGGAGAACGCGGAGAAGAGGACACCTGCCTCCTCCCCACTCGCACCCACGGCCCCCGGCTTCGCTCCGAGCGCCCACCAGCCACGCACCCTCCTCAGGCTCCCGACGACCTACAACGTACCCCGAGTCCAGCGGGCGCGGGCATCACCCAACGCCGCGGTTGTCAGCCGGTGTGCCGCGGCACCGCTGACACGTGCAGCCCGTTTACGCGGGGCACCGACCTCTGTCCCCTTCCACTGCCCAACACAACAGCAGCACCCGGGGTGAATGAGTCAAAATTATACCTTTTTTTTGTTTTATTATATCAGCAAAAAATACATATTTTTGGTGTGCCGCAGAATTTTCGTTATTAGTTGATGTGCCCTGAGAGGAAAGGGGTGGGAAGTCGCTGCTCTAAGATTTATACGTATCGCCCCCCTCTTGGCCTCCTCAACCACCGCGCCGGGCAAGAGTGACCAGCTGTGCTCGGTTAACGCAGAAACCGCGGCGCCGAGACCGTACGCCAGCGGCCGAAGATCACAAAGCGGGGGAGGGAGCCGGGTTCCTCGGGGGCCCGATCCCAACACACGACTGAGATTTTCAATCGGCGCGAACCAGTCCCCACGACAAGGGTCAGTTTGCCCACCCGCAGGGCCCCGAGGAAGCCGATTCTGGGGGTGCTGCCGAGAGGGGCTGCAGCCGCCGCCTCCGCGAACCCCGAGCGCCGCACTCACCTTCCGCGGCCGCCCGTCTCCCACCAGCAGCGCGCCCAGCTGGGCCGGCTCCGCCGCCTGGGGCCCCGCCTCTGCGACCGTTACGGCGCCGTGGGAGGCCGACCAATCGAGCCCGAGCGCGTCGAGGTGCCTCCTTCCGCTCCGCTTCCGGACGCCCGCGAGCGATTTCTCGGGCCGCGCGGGGAGGCTGGAACCGCCCCGCGCCCTCTGGTTGGCTCCGCTGCTGGGGGCGGGGCTTGCATCAAAACAGTTGTAAGCTTGGGCCCGGCGTTGCCATCTGCGCCTGCGCGCTTCCTCCGCACTTGCAATTGGCTCTTGGCTCGCAGGTGTTTTACCTCCTACCGCTGTGGTTCTCAACCTTGGCTGCACATTAGAATCACCTGGGAATCTTTCTAAAATCCTGATTTCTGGGCCTCATCTTCTGGAAATTCTGTTTCTTTGGTATGGGGTGGGGCCACAACATTAGTAACAAAGAAACAGAATTTCCGGAGGATGAGGCCCAGAAATCAGGATTTTAAAGACTCCCAGGTGATTCTAATGTGCAGCCAAGGTTGAGAACCCCTGACCTAACGGGAGCTCTACTTTGCCCGGGCGACTTACTGGTAAGAAATACACATTTAAGGCTATCGGTGAAAGGGAGGCCCGGGGCACGTGGCCGCCACAGACTGCCCGCCCGACACCTATGCCCGCCCTCACTGCGAGTTCTTGCTTCAGGACCCATCAGCTGTTCTCTATGTTCCAGACCTGGCAGAGGACTGCGGCGCCTGGCATTTGGAGGCCCCTAAAAGCGTTTGTTGGTGACATTTTACCCTCCCATTCGTCATTTTCAAAATCTCCACAAAATGTCAGGACCTACATCGGGCTCCAGAGGTGGCTGTCTGGAGATACTCAAAGTCTAGTTAGGGAGAATGAGTATGCACTCTGAAATTAAGAGACATTGTGATCTGATCAGAGAAGGGCTGTGACGGGCGCAGGAGGAACAGAGAAGGAGGCTTACCTAAGTCAGTCACTGAAGTCTTCCTAAACCAGTGGTCCTCAACCCTGGCTGCACATTAGAATTAACCAGGGAGCTTTGAAACCCTTGTTGCTCAGGCCTCAGACCAATTAAATCAGAATCTCCAGTGTGGGCCCCAGGTGTCCATGGTTTAGAAAGCTCCCCAAATGATTCCAATGTGCAGCCATACTCGAGAATGGCCAACCTGGAGAAATACTTAAGAAGAATGATTCTGAATGATGAATAAGAATTCCCCAGCAATACAGGGAAGAAAGGTTAGAGAAAACTTCATGTGCACATTAATAACTCAAAAGCACATTATTATAATGCCTATTTCACAAGTGCTTAGCAAACCTTGCCATTTTGTTGTTTTTTGTAATTAAGCCCAGCTGTCCCTTCTGTGCAGCTCATATCTGCCCTCCCTAAAAAACCTAACTCCCCAAACATGTACAAATATTGTGGGACTTACTGAGAAAGTTGAAGAATGTGTTGCATCACTAGAGAGGCTGAGGAGGAAAGCCTCAGGAAGTATGCTAAGAAGCTGGGACTTTATCTTGGAGTGATAGGGAACAATAGACAAGTTTTCAAAAGAGACATGAAATGGAAAGTTGCTGTTTTTTGTCTGGGTGTCTTCAAGCCTAATTTTTTTGCATCATGTTATATATGTGAAAACTGTAAAAACAAAAACAAAAACAAAAAATAACAACACAAAACAGCTCCAACAGTGTACAAATATGATTGCTGCTTTATTTTTTTTTTCACAAAAGGAAGTCAGCTCAATCCTCTAGTTCTCAGTTTAATAAGTTGGGGATATACAAATAGGGTCCATACCCATTTTTAAAAATTCATAGGTAGTTGAGTGATCCAAAAATTCCTAAGGGAAAATCCAACTTCCACACACCTGAAGAGAAGGCCAGGCGGCTCACCTGCCCACCGCTGTCATTGCATCATGTAGCCACATGATGTCGCTGTTAACAACCTGTATTTTCCAACTGGTTAAATGATGCAGGTCTGCGGCAAAGCAGGTCCCACAATGGCCAACAAGGCTTCTCCCACAGAAGACATTAGCCATGGTATCTTTCACAGGTCTTAGGTTCATAGCTCAATACTTTCGGGCCCATACACAGCCTTATTCCAGGCAGCTGGGACCACTGTGAGTTTGATCTCTGTGCCTGGCCCCCATGCAAAAGGGGATTACCATAATTGGAATTGGCAGTGGGGTGAGTGTTCCTTAAATCACACGGGTTGGAAGGTGGAGGCAACTTAAGTAAAACTGAAGTCCTGTAAGCAGTGAGAGGACAGTGGGTGCTAGATGAACAGATCACCAGTATTCACAATCTTCAAGCACAAGAAGCCTGATTGCTCTCTATTTCCTAACAATAGAGCCCCCTTTCTCATCACTCCTGGATTTTGTGTGTAGCAAGTGGAGGGGAGGAAGCTCTATCTCATTGTCCTCCAAAGAAATCCCCTTCTTATGGACCACCAAGGCATAGCTCAGGCAAATATATTATTAACAAATGCTCAAGAACCTATACAGAATAACCATAGTTACATTAATTGAGCCCTTAAAATGTGCCAGGCCCTGGGACATTTTCATCTTCTAACTTGTTGACTCTTCACAACTGTAGTGTAAATACTGTTATTATCTTACATTACAAATTATCAAATTAGAAAATAGAACGAAAAAAACAAACCAGACTTGCTTAGGTCTCACAGTAGGTATGTGGCAGAGCCAGGATCTGAAATTAAAATTCTGGCTCCAGCACCTATTTCATTAATCACGTGACCATACCACTTCTCATGATGGGCATCTGCTGTAAGTTGGTGTATGCACTTATTTTCATTTGCAATTATTTCATCTGTATTAGTTGTCTATTCATGTATAACAATAAATTAGCCCTAATCACAACAGCTTAAAACAAACATTTACTATCTCAAAACTTCTGTGGGTAAGAAATACAGGCGTGGCTTAGCTGGATGGTCTGGGCAGAATCTTTCATGAGTTTGCAAGTCAACCTGTTGGCCAGGACTACCCATCTCAAGGTTCAACAGGGGCTGAAAGATTTACTTCCAAATGCACACACATGGCTGTTAGCAGGACTCAGCTCAATCCTTGTCATATAACAAACAGCTGCCATTCATGGTACCATTTAAATAATTTTTAAAAGCAGGACTATATCAATACCCAAGAACATTTACTTATGTATATAATTTCTATATAACTACTAGAGGCCCAGTGCACGAATTTGTGCATGGGTGGGGTCTGGCTGGCCTGCCCCCGGGGGCCCATTGTTGGAGGCTAATCGGGGTGTTGGGGGCCAATCAGGCTCTGGATCAGGCTGGTTGGCTGCCACAGTGCATGTCATAGCCACTGGTCATTTCGGTCATTCTGTCGTTCTGTTCGCTGGGCTTTTATATATATAGATAGAAAGTGGACTTGGAAGGTAACACCACATTCATGAGAACATTGGCCTTTGAGGAGGAGAAGAATATAATGGTGTTGGGATTGAAAGTCAAATAGGGTCTTATCTGCGACATTTTCTTCTATTAAGATTTTTATTGAGTCAATATTTAATGATGGTCAGTAAACTCTGGATAGCAGGAATGTAGGAATTATACTCTGTTCTCTATTTTAAAAACTTCTCAGAATAAGATATGCCCTGGCCAGTGTGGCTCAGTTGGTTGGACGTTGTCCCGTGCACCAAAAGGTTGCTAGTTTGATTCTCAGTCAGGCATATGCCCAGGTTGCGGTTCGATCCCCCATGGGGAGTGTGCAGAAGGCAGAAGGCAGAAGGCAGCCAATTGATGTTCCACTCTCACATCTCTGTTTCTCTCTCTGTTCCTCTCCCTTCCTCTCCCTCTAAAAATCAATTTTAAAAATCATTAAAAAAATAAAAATAAACAAGATACAAATTTTAAAACTCTTAACGGGTTGGAAAATATGTCTGTACTGCCTTCCTTTGGCTCTTCACTCTAATTAAGGGTGTATCTACAAACCCCACTCTCCACATTACTCAGACCAAACCTATTTTCTCCTCAAGATTTTCTGGTTTGAAATTTTACAAAATCCCCTTGGTTTGCTGCTTCTCCGCTTTCTGTATTTGGTGCCACAGCCTCCTTGAGCCGAGGGAGAGCCTGGCCAGCAGCATGAGGCTATAGTTACTGGCATTGGTCTGACACACAATATTCTGAGGTCAGAATCCTGGGCCCTGAGCTCATTTCTAACGTGCCGGTGCCTCTTCCTTTAACATAACCAGTAGTCACACTGAAACAATTCTGGAAGGGCACATGGAAATCTTAAATCTGTAGGTATCACATTATGTAACCCTTTCCTTTTGTTTTGATCTCCATTCATGCTGTTTAAAAAAACAAGTTCAGAAAATCAGTCAATCCATTAACAATTCCCTTTTCAAAAGGAGGCCCAGTAAAAACACGGACTCTTGTAAATTAAAGCATTTTTAGCTGCTCTCTTAAAATAAATCACTGATGTCTAAGGGCAAATTGGTAAGAGGCCATTTAAGAAGAGAGAGAAGCATCTAGGTACTTCCTGGGAAACAAAGAAACAACTCAGAGTGAGAATAAAATCGAAAACAGGATCCCTCTGAATGAGTGAATATGTTTTGTACTCAATCTCAATACCTTTCACAGTGTTTTGTTCAGACTTTATTTTTCTCCGTAACAATCCTGTCTGGTAACAATTCACTATTCCTACCTCCAGTGTCCTGGACGGAGGGAATTACACGGAGCTCAAAAGGTTCGCCATCACTGATCTAGGTACTTCCTGGGAAACAAAGAAACAACTCAGAGTGAGAATAAAATCGGAAGCAGGATCCCTCTGAATGAGTGAATATGTTTTGTACTCAATTTCAATACCTTTCACAGTGTTTTGTTCAGACTTTATTTTTCTCTGTAACAATCCTGTCTGGTAACAATTCACTATTCCTACCTCCAGTGTCCTGGACGGAGGGAATCAGTAGGTAGAAAATGCAGGTATGTTCATTAATTCCAGGTATCCTAGAAACTAGACCCAAAGAGAAAATAGTGGCACGGTACAAGTTATCTGCGGAATCGCAA